TGAGTGCGAGACCAGAAATCCCTTTTTAGCTCATCAGACTTGAAACTGCTTAACCCCAGGCATTTATTTGGCAAGTACTTACTTACCTAAACTTCTTTCTGTTATCTGTTTGTTGTGCTCTGTGTGTGTGTGTGTGTGTGTGTGTGTGTGTGTGTGTTACATCTTCTTTCTGTAAATATTTTTACTGCACCCTTTTGGTAATAAATCTTACTTTCTAAAAGTGTTGAACTGTTTCTATAGCTCCTGAATGTAACGTACGAATCCCTGCCGCTGAAGAGCGCTACTATAAGTGTTTAACCCTCTGTATAACCGGTCTGTAGAGATAGTGGGATACTGACGGTTAACCAATCATCATAGTGTATTGCTGAGTTTCCTCTTTCTCCGTATAAAAAGGAGTTGGTGGCAGTGTGAAGGGTTAAATGCGTAATTAACCTGATCCAGTAACAATCGCATTCAGGCTGCCTGTACTTAGATTGTGGTACAATTATCTGGAAAATCGGTCTGCAGGGTGCAGCTGGGTGTGGCATTGTTATGCACGTGACATCGCGGTTTTAGATTGGCTAGTCCTTCGGTCACAAGTTTGGTGAGAAGGGCTGGGATCTGACGCCGCGTCCGTCACAGTTATCAATAATCTTTGCTTTCAAGAAGGGTTTGCTTTAGTGTAACTAAAGGCAAGACTTAATTTTTATGGATAAAGTAAGTGAAGTTTATAACCCCTGTCAGTATTTTTTTTTTTTTTGGTGCCGTATATGTCCCATAGGGGACATTTCCCATAGCCAGAACAGGACGAAAGAGGAAACCCCTCCAAACCCGAATGAATCCCGAGGTGTCACCAGCACTAGTGTCTCCACTGGAAGATTTCCCTTCTATTAGGGCCTGCTCACAGAATTACACAATAATGTGGTCCTGTTCATTCCCCTGTTGTGCGAATTTGCAACCCATTTATTTGAATGGGCTGCAAATCATACCAGAACGCACAAAAAGTAGTGCATGCACTGCTTTGGAAAAACGCGCCACACCAAATTGCATGGTAGTGCCTTCAATTTGGGAATTACATTGTCAATGCAACAAAGGCAATGTGTTTTGAATGTTGTGTGGAAAGCATAATGTGCCTTATGGTGTGAACTGGGCCTTAGTATTCTGATTTCAGCCCAAAATTAAAGATTCTCTTTTGCATTCACTTTTGATGATAAAGGTAAATCTGACCAATAGTGAAGGCGAATCTCTCTAACAGAAGCACAGACAAACCTGACAGGCATGCTAATCCCTCTCCACTCTCATCCAAAACCAAAAAAAAAAGGTTTTAGATATGCTTTGAATAAAATTGTTATCATTAAATTTCAGCACAAATAAAAAAAACCTGAATGAAAATCTGGATATTGCACCTGTGTGTGCCCTTTTACAGATGGCGTACATTGGCTGTATACACAGTTCCATTACACCTGCCTAAATCACAATAATTTAGCACAGCTTCCGGTAATAGATCAGAAAATAACATACGCTAGTTACAAGCTCAGCAGAGCAGAGAAATTCAATTTCCCAGCAATTCTTAAGTATTTCTCCTTATTATAAGACAACCAGTTGATGATTCCCCCCCCCCCCCCCCCCGAAAAGCGAAACTCAATTGGCGTGAAATTGAGGACGTGCGGCAGGCAAGGCCAGCTCGCCTGCGCAAAGAAGGAAGGGTTAATCGTTTAATTGAGTTGTGAGCACGGCGGTATTGTAGTGCCTTATCACTTCATTCTGGTGACATGCTCTCTTTCTGAGCAGTGGTAAAGGACTGAAGGGACTGAAAGGGAAAGTAAATACTGAAAGGCGTTACGGCGATACTGTTCTGAAATTACAGTTGCAAGCGGCTGAACGAGGCTCCTGAATGGTCTTGAAAGTGTGCATTTTAAACATCAAGCCAATAAATATATCATTTTCAGCTAACATTTCTTTTACAAACTGTAATTATACACGACGCCTTCGGCATCACACTGCGTCGTTTTTTTTCCCCTCTTTTCTCCGCACAACTGTATTTTATTTTTTAAAGCTTAGATGGCAAGGAAACCATATTTAAAAGAAGAAAAAAAAATCAAAACAATATTTCTTCAAATCCTTGCCTGCCAGAGGTTAAAGCTGCAGTGTTTGTCGGTATTGAAGTGTATTAAAGACCATCAAAATCTCCACAAGAAATGCTTTCTTCCCTATCTCTCACCAGACAGTCAAATGTGGACTGGTAGGTCCTATCCCCATTGTTCTATAGGCTGCCTGGAGCGAGCCTTGGGATTTTGTGGCATTTCACAGCAAAAATCAACCATAAATCATATCATAAAGCAACCCAAGAAAACAAAATCCAGGGCACTCATGGCATGTCACTCTTTTTTTTATTTAATCATAAATTCTAAAGGATGAAATGAATTAAAAAAGATCCGTCCGATAAATATTTCACATGCAAAGTGCACACTTTTTCCAGGCAGTAAGATCCAACTGCCTTAAAAAAGCATGCACTTTGCACAAAATATATTTGGCAGCAGGATGTGTTTTAACTGTTTTTATCTATTGGAATTTGACTAAAGAAGGGTGACATGACATTCTGTGAGTGCCCTGGATTTTGTTTTCTTGGATTACTGTATTTGGATATTACTAACCAGGAGCACCAAGACTCACCATCTCTTATGTTGGCTATACATGCTTTGATAACTGGTCAATTTTCCATTCAATCTCTTCTGATTGGAATATTCTATTTATATTCGACAACACATTTGATCAATTTGATCATGGGGAAGTGGATTTCGATCGATAGTTAAAATATGATCTGAAAATATTATGGTAAGCCATTTTTATTATACAGGATTTTTATAACACCAACAGTTTGCACAGCGCTTTGGTTAGAGATTCGGTATATAGCCCTACAGAACAGACCGTGCACAGTCCACATTTGTTTAACTGCTGCTTCTCTGCAAACAGGAAACAGGAACTTTATTCAGAGATAAGACAATAGAGTTTATCATAGACTCAGCTACAAACCTTTTAAGCACTGCCATCTACTGGTTGAAGAATATATCTGTAGTTGTTGCACAAGAAAATGTATGCACAGTGTATTCCGACAGCTCTACAATGTAAAGTGAGACAATACAGAAACAACACAATTTGATATAAAAGGGTTAGGAGGGCCCTGCTCCTGAGAGCTTACAATCTAATAGGGCGGGGCAAAAGGAACAAAAGGTAACAACTGCTAAGGATGAATTCTCCTTACCTCCAGTTTTAGTGAAAACAGTAACATTTTGGATTCCCTATCACTTATTCATTATGATTGGTGGTTACCAGGACAAATGGTGAGGGTGGATCTCCTCGGGGAGGCAGGCAGGACTAAAAAATTGACCAACATATCACAACGTAAAAACCCATTTCATGCCTGATATATTTATATCCCTAGGTCCAATGTATTTGTTCCAGTCATCCACAAGGCCCATAGATTCCAGAATATGTGGAAACACCCTCTATTTTTATCTATAAGGTTAACATTGGAACATTATCACCCATCTAATTCCAGGAAATAGCTGTGCAAGCTGCAAATAAAATCTCCACAGGGGATTTTTTCATGGTGCTCATGTAATTCATCTTTTATCTTGCTATAGCTTAATTTAGTAAGCAGCATATATAATGCAATATGGTGCTTCTGGCACTTTTGCGTTGCTTGGAATGCTGTACAAGATGGGTTTCCCCTTCGGCTTTGCAAAATTGCAGTGTTGCATGATTATGAGAATTTAAATAAAAAGAGGGCATCGTTAAAGGGTAAGTGTACTTATACTGAGCATACTTACTTAGTAGGTCTCAGTCTCTTCCCTAGTGGTCATAGATGAGAAAATACTTACCTGCCCACCACCCCCAAGATCTTTGCTGTGCAGCCTCTTCCTATAATCAGACCTTGTTCCTTCTATGCATGTGTGATGCTGTATGCTGCCTGGATTTCTTTTATCTGCATTGATCAATAACGGGATTCTGCAGTTAATCCTGAGTGATTTTTTTGTCACATATATAACAGCATGTTTGTCATAAAGCCATCTGTGTAGCATAGCCTTAAGGTTGCATGAGGCTCATTGCTACTTATTTACACACTGTCAACATATTGCAGTTAGCTAAAACAACAAGAAAAGAGGTGAACCTAGCAGAGAGGTGCTGCTTAAAGCACCAGTGTTATGCGTCAACTGCTTTTAGTAATGAAAATCCTATCTGATGCCAGCCCATACCATTATATCATCATGGCTGATACATGAAGCACAAGACATTTATACTAATTCCTATTTGTTAGAGCAGTGGTAACTAAACTGCAGCCCTTTGCTTGTGTTTATCTGGCCCTTGAGGCACTATCACCTCCACAGATACAAGGAACTATTTCACCTATTCCACCAACGATGAGGTGCCAATCCTTCCACTGACACCATCAGTAAGGGGTAGTTCCCCTCACTGACACCCAAAGAGAATTTTTTTCTCCTACTGACACCAACGATGAGGCACCACTCCTTCCACTGATACCAACAGACCTTTTTGGCCCAAAAATATGGATTGCCCTCCAGCTAAAGGATACAAAAGAATTTTAGACTTCTGTGAACTTTCAATCTTGTGGCCATATTTTGGGGAAGGCCCCTTTTCTATTCCAGCATGACTGTGCCCCTGTACACAAAGCCAGCTCCATAAGGACATGGTTTGATGAGTTTAGTGAGGAGGAACTTGAGTGACCTGAACAGGGGCGGACTGACCATTCGAGCACTCGGGCAGTGCCTGAGGGCCTGGGGTCAGTAGGGGGCCCCATTAGATGCCCCTGGTACCTTTCATTGGCTTTTTCATAGGTTTTTTTGGGTGTTGGTGAGGACATAGGGGCCCCATGATCCCCTATTGCCCTGGGGCCCCCATGAGTTGTCAGTCCGCCCCTGGACCTGAACAAAGCCCTGAGCTTAATCCTACCGAACACAGATTCATCCTGTTCATCCCGAATTAGAACACTGATTTTAAACCAGGTCTTCTCATCTAACCAGGGGCGGACTGACAACTCATGGGGCCCCTGGGCAATAGGGGATCATGGGGCCCCTGTGTCCTTGCCCACACCCAAAAAAGCCTATGAAACAGTCAATGAAAGGTACCAGGGGCATCTCATGGGGCCCCCTACTGACCCCGGGCCCTCGGGCAGTGCCCGAGTGCTCAAATGGTCAGTCCGCTAACGTCAGTACCTGACCTCACTAATGCTCCTTTGGCCAAATGCAAACAAATTTCCACAAAACACTTTTCAAAATCTTGTAGAAAGCCTTTTCGAGGAAGTGGAGTGCCTATGTTTTTGGATTGAGATGTCCAACAAGCTAACAGAGCAAATGTGAAGATCAGGTGTCCACAATTATTTATCCCTGTAATATGTGACATGCTGAGAGAGAGACATAATCACACACTGGTACTTGTGTCTTCAAGGTTCTTCCTGATATGGGTAACTGTTAGTGAAGTATTTATTTTTTTTCAGAACAGTGTTGTTTTTTAATGAAATCACACTGGAGCTCCTAACAGGGTTCCTCTTTAATCATCACAAATGAAGAAACTCAGATTCCCATGTACAAACCAGTCTGCTCCTTCCACAGACTGGCAAATGGGGCCCATCATGTTGCAGCAACACAGGGTTAACAAATCCAGCTTGACAGTGGCAAATGATTTCATATGAATATTTATAACACTTTACTTCCCTGCTACTATCAGCCCAGACATTAAAAAAAAAAAATCACTCCATTCCCTGACAACAATCTACACTGACAGTTGACCTATCAAAAATGAGTGTGAACAATACAAAATAAATATAAAAATAGCCAAATGAACACAAAAGGAAAATAAGACAATTAGACTGTGCTGCTTCCAGGGGCGGACTGACAACTCACGGGGCCCCTGGGCAATAGGGGATCATGGGGCCCCTGTGTCCTTGCCCACACTCAAACCACACCCAAAAAAGCCTATGAAAAGGTACCAGGGGCATCTCATGGGGCCCCCTACTGAACCCGGGCCTTCGGGCAGTGCCCGAGTTCCCAAATGGTCAGTCCGCCCCTGGCTGCATCCTATCTAGAACAGTATGCCTGGCTCTTCTTTGGATTCAGTAATCTATCTTTTTCATTGAAAGCAATTTTTGGTATAGGGCACATTCATGTCACTGTTTTGTGGTAACACTGTTGGTGTGATACAGTGTCATTTATTATAAATGGCACCCCAGCGTATCTGCAGCAATTCACTAACATGCATGATGGTGCCAGAAAATGCTACATGCACTTTTAGTGCCGTAAATGATGGGGCTGCCTAACACAATGCACGTAATGTGTGTTTACATGCTGTAATGGTGTGAATGGACCCTAAAGGAAACTCGTATTGAGAGAAACATGGAAGCTGCCATTGCTGACAAAGGTGTTGTTAGGGCTCTGAAGAGCAATGTGGCCTTAGTCTTCTCTGAAGGGCCTCAGGTCCTGTACATTCTATATGATTTCCTAATTAGAGGATACCCTAAAGGAGAGCATCAAAATAATTACATAAAGTATATGTAAACCCAATAACAAAAATCTCATGCAAGCATTAATACAATTTCAAAAGTCATTCTCAATATACACCATGAAGTGACAACCAATTAATTGACCATACCCACTTTTTTAGACTACACCTACTAGCAGTTGATGGTGGTGATCTCGGGGTTCTGCATTGTTGTTGTTTTTTTAAGGTGTCCCTTTTAATTATTTTGAGATGCTGCCAACTACCTAACTAGTTAAAGTGGCAGATATTTACCACGTATTTCTCATTTTTTTTTCCTCCTTTGACAAGATGTAAAAAGAAAAAATGACAGCTTCAGAATCCAACGCATCCATTTATTTTATTGAAGCAAATAACCTGTCTTTCCTGCTCTACCAAATCATCCGCTAATGCACTTGGCTGCAACTGTCAGCAGCAAACAAAACAGGGACTGCGCCCAAAGACACGACTCTTTATACTCTACCTAAACTGCATTTTACAGCCACGGTTTCCCTCTCTTATATCTTAATTGACTGTTCCAATATTTATCAACTCAAAAGCTCCTGACAAAAGTATCCAGGTTTTTTAAAGGAAACCTGCCAAGAGAGCATCATAGAGGCTGCCCCATGCTATGCTCTTCTTCTAAAGATGCTTGTTGCCTGGCTGTTATGGTGAGCTTCTGCTTTCAACACTTGGGGGTCACAGACCTGGAATGAGCATGTACATAAATGCATAAATGTTGACTCTCTTGATATGCATTCTTGTCTCAGGTCAATGTTAAAGCCAGAACATGAGCATAACAACCAACCAAGTAGGATTTTTAGGTGATTGGCTGTTTCCATGGTTCTTCGATGGCAGGTTGGCATTAAGCCTTCTAGATACTGCTAAATACATAAACTGAAACAACCCGAATCCATTAAAAGAGGTACTAAGCTCTGGTGCCTGTGATTTCACTGCAGCTGATCTTTACCCCATTACTGACTTACCATGTCTTGTTCTACATTGTGTCTCTGTGTGGAGGCAGCCATCTTGGTAGAGGCAGGGCTTTACTTCCTCATATCAGAGCCTCCAGCAAAGAGAGCAGTGAGCAGAACAGCAGTGACAGCAGTAGTCAAAATAATATCATGATAGTCACTATTATTGCTACTATAACTCTTGGTTTTTTTTTTGTTTTTATTATTTTTAGTAACTGCTATGACAGTAGAAAGGTTGGGATGAATTTAAATTGAACCTTGAGACCTGAGATGCTAAAAAACCACTTGTGAGCTACTGAGTATAGAGTATTTAGTTGGAAAATTATTGTTAATTTGTTGATTATTCGTTAATGGAAAATTAATGTTAAAAGGTAATTCCCTGCACTGATGCCCGCCTCTTCCCTGGCAACTTCTGCCCATAGCAGTGCTACCTACTAATGTATTGACTAAAGTGACAGCTGTCCTTGGTCTAGACATACTTTATCCTAATGTGGAAAAAACACAATTTAAGGAAGTTCAAATGCAGAGAGATGAGCTCATCACTGTGCTGCTTCTTTTTTCACTGTCCAGTCACAGGATGGGGTGGATCCATAACAACCTGGGCTCAGAGAAAGCAGTTTGAATGATGCTGGCCATGGTACTGCGGACATCCAGTGGCAAAAAAAAGTACTGTAGGGGAAATCTCTGGATGGTAGGTGAATAATACAGCAAAAGACAGCTTTGTTATTTTATCTTTCAAAAAGGTTTTCATTTTAATGTTTTTGCTGGTTTTCTGCTTCAGTGATAGTATGGAGACCGCTATTATTGAATGTCTAGCTGCATCAATCAAAAGCCAGCCTTCCCTTTCAGGAACACTCTTCTCCTGGATATTGCTTTACTTTGCATCTTTTCAAGCCTTTGAGTGCATGAATGCGTGTGCACACGACCCAGTGTGCATGGGAAAAACAGCAGAGGAATGCTCACAAGGTAGGGCTAATTAAAATCAAATGTTAGTGCATGCATGTTATGCCCACATCAATGCCTTTGCTATGGTGTGAATAAGCCCCTAGTGTCACATTGGAATACATGATTGAAGTTTAAGTCCGGCACAAATGCACACCAAAGTCATGCATATCTTTTATGCATGTGCAGCACTTGCCCCCGAATGACCCTTAAGGCAGTTTCATACTCTGACACACCAGGGCTGAAAGAGACAAATCATGGTTACACCATTAGTACAGTTTGCAAATGAGATTATATCAGAGCAGGGATGTAACAAAGACAGTGGCCACAGTCCTCTCGCCACTCTGAAGTCCATCTCAAAGTTTCCCCCTGTTCTGAGGCATCTGAAACATTGGATAAATGGGTAGGCTAACTCTCATGGTCTTTGAGGGTGATGGCCGCAGTCCTGAATACAGTATCGGCGATCATGGACCATGCAGATGAGTACAGATGTTCTCTCTCACAACACTATGGGGCCTTGCAGTCTTACAGCAAAGTAGATCTAGATACCACACTTTCAGCAAGGTCCTGCCTGAGCAGGAGAAAGGGAAAACAGTCTCTATCAAACCTTGGTGTAAGTCCTCCAACCACAGGCTCATGTGCCCCTCCGATCCACAGCATGGTCTCTGAGCAGTTGCAGCGATCTCTGAGCACGTGCAGCTGTTCATTTCTGACTCGGCAACAAAGCATAGCACCAGCATTCAGCAACCTGAATCTCCACGTGAGACTGTCCTCCAGCCCACACTTTCCAGCCCACACTTTTTTTGCTTTCCCCAGACACAAGGCCATCCTGGGATTTGTAATATCACATAATTTAGTCTCACTGGGGCTGCCTTCAGGGGACTACACTTCCATTAGTCCTTCCCAGCCCCATGAATTAATGGGTACACTTCCTCTTTTTCCCAGGGCGGATTTTGCAATTATGCCTCTATCATCCTGTCTCCCTTTTTTCGCTTCAAGGCCACTCCATTAGATTGTCGGAGGGAAGAGGGGGAGCATTCTGATCAGTGAGGTAGCCACCAGTGCCCAAGATGTGTGAGTGCTGGGAGATGGGAACTGCTGGCCAAGCTACACAAATATTTGTACTCCTGACAAAAAAGGGAGAGAAGTACCCCTTTATAGAAAATAAAATAAAATAACTGTAGCGCTACCCCCGTAGGAGCCGCTTGATAGATGCCCAGGGTTCTTTTCCCAGTAGTTGCCCCACAGCTAGGCATACCGTCAGTCATTCTCTGTCTCAATAAGCAGTCCAGAACAATATACTCCAGATCTATATACAAATAATAGGATACATTTTCTTTAGAACTGTGAGTCAAGTTCTTTGTACAAGTAAATAAGTGGACTAGGTGTTGTAGCAGTTGCTTGATGAGATTAATCGTCCTCTCTGGACAGTCCAAGCAAGTCCTTTCACTAAGAATGAAATAGACTGAGCTCTTCAGGACACTGAACACCTTGTCCCCTTTAAACACAGCTAACTGTCTAGCACCAGAGGGGTGGAAACCACACACAGTCTTTAGGATCTCTCACAATTGTCTGTACTCACAATGTCTTCAGACCAAGGCCAGCACAAGGGGTGAGGGGAGGGGCATGGTTTACTGTAGGGATGGGGGTGCCTTCTTTCTATGACAAGGCTGAGGAGCAAGTGACTGTTGGGAGTAGGATCCCCTTAGTGGCGCAGTTTGGCATCTTTGCCTTGAGTGCTTGATGGCCATGTCCCAACACTGCTTCAGACAATTGGCTGCCTCCTTCAAATGTCTTCCAGACACTCTCTCCCTGTGATACCAGACTAGATCCACAGATGACAACCCCTCAGTCAGTTTCTAGCAAAACCCAGCACCCCCAGCTTGTCCAGCTGAGACTGTGATGATCAGCAACCATGTGGCAGGTGGCCTGAGGGGCAATCAGTCCCGCGTGATCTCCTCAGGGACAAGACTATCCCAGGTCTTAAACTATTTATTCAGTTTTCCAGCCCCTTCTGTGCTATCTTCCTACATGGATTGGCTGAGACAGTATAAATATTGTTGCTGCTCATTTGCCTTATTCCACATCTATGCTCCAATACCCTCCAGTAGGTTCTAGAAGGCAGGAGGAGTAACCAAACCTGCAGCTTGTGAAACACACAACAGACATAAACAATCACAAATGACCACACTGATTACAGTGAGCCAAACTAAATGCAGCTCCACTGGATACAGTGAGCCAGAACTACCTATCTAAGAGAGTGTTAAATAACAATACATTTGTTTTTATTGTCCCCATTCTAATTGGGAAGATATCCTTGCAGTGAATCACAAATGGAGGAAGTGTGTCTGCGGGTTATAGGCTGTTTTTATAAAATCAATTAAAAAATAATTTCATAATATTTGTAGAGGCGCCTTCCACTCACATAACTGAAAATGTTCCATCAATGTAGTAAGACATCATTGACAAAGATTTTAAATGGAAGGCGGTCATGGTTCATGTAAATGCATACATAAGCTATAGCAGGGGTCAGCAACCTTTTCTACATTAAGTGTCAATTTGCAAGCATTAGACAACCAGTGCGCCAGTGAACAATAGCGTGCCTTAGCCATGTAGGCTATTTTCAATGTTTGCACTTTATAGTTCTATTGCTAACAGCAGGGTAAACTCATGAATTTTTTTTATATTAACAGCAACATGCACAATACATGTTCATATTTACCATTAAAATGCATTAAACGGTGAACAGCAATTAGTGTGAAAAAATTAGTTTTATATGCTTTATATGTGGACCCAGATGCAAAGATATTATTCTTCACATATAGATCCACATATGTGTGCGAACAGATGTTTTCACACTAATTCCAATTTACTGTTTAGCTCCCGGTAAGAGTAAATATGAACACATATTCTGCATGTACCTGTTAATACCTTTTTATATTTGCTAAATAAATGGCAAAGGTGCTACAGGCTAGATAGCATTTAGCAAACTTTACTACAGCTATATTATGAAACTGTTTTGTAGACATGTGACTAAGGATCTTCCAGGTGCCACTGAAAATGGCTATGTATACCCACCGTGGCATGCTTGCCCATAGGTTGCTGACCCCTAAATTATGCCATTGCTTTTCACATACAGAAGTGAGGTGACCCTATTCTAATCAGATTTGTAAAACTACCTCTTAGAATACTCTGGGGGAATTCATAAAGGATGTCATAGACACCCTTTTTAGAAACCCGCTGTGGCTACCACATCAAATTGTCGGTGCTTACGCCCAATTCATGTACCGGTCACCGGAAACATACTAAACCTCTTTCCTCAGTGCAATCCAAAAAGAAAACTTGCACTCAGGAGAAGATCTATATAGAGTGGCCATTTATTGAGAAGGAACAATATACAGCCACATTGAAAGTTTACACTTTTTGGCCAATTAGGTCTAATTGGCCGAAATGTGTAGGATTTCTATCTGGCAGTATATTTGACAATAAATGGACACTCTTTCACAAAACTTCACCTGGGTGCCGGCTTTCGTCTTGGTTTACATATATGTGGAAGCTTGCCGAGGCCATTCAGCTTGAGTACCGATGGCTTTCTTTGGGCTGATTGGGGTGAATTGGTAGCCACACTGCACATTTGGCTTTGTATCCCTAACCTGTCACTAGGCCCATCACACCGACAGGTGCAAGACCAAGGGGTTTTGTAGTGCAGTGGGCGGAGTCTGATAGGGAACTACTTCACCATCAGATCCACCTTGTTGTTGACTACAGTGAATGGTTGCGGCAAATCCCTAGCCGCTGTTTTGAAGCTTTCAAATCCACCCACTGCCATTCGCTGTCAATCACAAATAAGGCAGACATGATGGGGAACTAGTCTCCCGTATCCTCATCAGGCTCCACCCACCTAATAATTTGAATAATTTCCCAAATATCTGCATCGCCATACTTGGATAATGACATCATCACTATTTACAGTCAGCTCTGTGCAAGGGGATCTCCTGACCAACAGCTGAATGGGGATAGAGCCTTGTGTGGGAATTTCACATTCAAGACTGCTTCCCAGAACCTCTTTAAGAATCCATCTCTGCCATAGCAGGGAACTACTCCAGAAAAGTATTGTTAAGGCTTTTTTGGATCCCCTGTATTTGTTTTCATCCCAAACTTAAGTAAATTGCAGATCATGGGCTATATGTTGCCAAAGATGAAAGAATCATTTTTTTTGTTTTCACAAACGTTGAGCGCTGTTTTGATACCTGCTAGTAGCACTTTTTATTGTTTTTATTTTGAGGCCCAAAATACATATTTTATTCTTGCCATATTGCATAATTGATGAGATTATGAAGCACAGTTGAGCAGATAGTTTATTTTGGATCCAAAACCATAAAATCCCAAAAAGTGAGTATTCACATAGAACTAAATAAAGAACAAAGGATAACAAAATTCTTGATCAGAACCAGTTACTAAGTGAGCATAATTTGCAAAACCCCTTCTGCCAAAATCTTTTTTTGTTTCAAAATACCGTAGAAAGGGTTACACTTTCGGTCTGGATTATATTCTAAAAATGAATAATCAAGCGAGTGCGTCTTAAATAGAAATAAAATCAGCTTGCATAAGGAAAAAACCTCTAAATCCTTAAAAACATATAAATCAAAAATGCAGCACTAGAACACATATAAATAACAACAGTATATCTGACATAAAATGAAATGCAAAGTGACAAGTGATAATTCATATATCAAAGCGCTGAAGATGAGCGCAATAAAGTGACAATAGTGTGTCATCTTAAATTAAAAGAATAGCAGTGAGGTAAACGCACGTTATAAACGTATAGTAGTCCATAAAATAACTTTTCCTTATAGGTGCCTAAATCATCCAGTGTCTGGGGATAATGGTTGCTTCTCACTGGAATTGCATTAATAAGGTGCTCGTGACTTCTGTGGATAAGAAAAGAGTTGTGCTTGCACTCACCAGACGTACAATCAAATTGCGCATGTATATGACACTCAGAAGGGCACTAGTGGTCATCTAGGAACCGGTAGAGATAAGGCACTTCTCACACCCTGGAAATGGACTCCAGACCTCTCAGTGGGACCCTCACAGCAGACTGGGACAGCTCCTTGGCTTCACTTACACCCGGCTTCACATCAGGTCAGCACCAATGGATATCCACCTTTAAGCAGCTCCAGGAATAAGCCACCAAACAAAAGAGTTCATATGATGTAGTATGTTTTATTGAGCCAATGGTATTAGTATAACAGCTTAGTTCAGCTATTGCAAATGGTATTGCAGCTATTATCAGAAATTGCAGAAGTATAGCAGCTTAGCTCAGTATTTGCAAATGGTACTGCAGGTAAGTGCAGAATTGAAGAAATATAGCAGCTAAATTCAGCAGTTGTAAATGGTAGTGCAGCTATATGAAGAAATTATAGAGATTCCAATATAAAAATAACAAAGATGGCTGCCAGCCTAGCATGTGGACCTGTCAGCGAGTGACGTCAGCACGGCAAGCTCCTCGCTGACGCGTTTCGTGTGCCAGCACGTTGTCAAAGGGAACAGTTGCTTAAAGGTGGATATCCATCGGTGCTGACCTGATGTGAAGCCGGGTGTAAGTGAAACCAAGGAGCTGTCCCAGTCTGCTGTGAGGGTCCCACTCAGGGGTGGACTGACAACTCATGGGGCCCCTGGGCAATAGGGGATCATGGGGCCCCTGTGTCCTTGCCCAAACTCAAAAAAGCCTATGAAAAAAGTACCAGGGGCATCTCATGGGGCCCCCTACTGTCCCCGGGCCCTCAAGCAGTGCCCGAGTTTCCAAATGGTCAATCCACCCCTGAGTCCCACTGAGAGGTCTGGAGTCCGTTTCCAGGGTGTACTAAGTACCTGAGAAGTGCCTTATCCCTACCGGTTCCTAGATGACCACTAGTGCCCTTCTGAGTGCCATATACATGCGCAATTTGATTGTGCGTCTAGTGAATGCAAGAACACCTCTTATCCACAGAAGTCACGAGCACCTTAATAATGCAATTCCAGTGAGAAGCAACCATTATCCCCAGACGCTGGATGATTTAGGCACCTATAAGGAAAAGTTATTTTATGGACTTATCGCTCATCTTCAGTGCTTTGATATATGAATTATCACTTGTCACTTTGCATTTCATTTTATGTCAGATATACTGTTATTTATGTGTTTTAGCGCTGCATTTTTGATTTATAGGTCTGGATTATATTGTCTGTGTCCCAGTGAGGGAGATTTTCTCTTACTTCCTGTCCAGGTGATGGGTGTCATCTAAAGTAAGAAGAGAAGAGAAATCTATTCTATGAGAACCCAGTCAGCAAAAAAAAAAAAACGTATATAACAATAATAACAGATGTTCTAAACTTTCCCCGCGCTATCCAATATGTATAAAAAATGTTTTTACTGCAGTTGGCCTTTAAAGGTGTTTTTACTGTGTCTATACAACCATATATACACGATTCCACTTTATAAACTTCTTAATAGTAAAAACAAACGTTTAATCGAAATCCTATGCATTTTAGCCAATTAGTTCTTTGTTTGCATAGTCATCTCACTTTTGATTGGATCCTCTGCTCTGATAACTGACCTTATCTGCATTAAAAGTTTCCAGTACTGGACCAGAGCCAGAATGTACAGATGACAAAGAGTTACATTTACATAAGGAAGGGGTAATTTCAGAGTAACATTGAAAGCTTATAGTATAGTAGTATAGGGAGGGTTAGTTTTGGGGTGAGATTTAGGGTTTAGGTTACAAGGAAAATTAGTGGAAGAGTTATTGTTAAGGTTAGAGGGAGGCTTAGAGTTTGGCATGAGGTTACTGAGAGGGTAGGTATCAAGGATACAGGTAGGGTTAGTGATAAAGAAAAGCTTACTCCAAGAGATTGTTAGTGCTTATTTGGAGTATTAGTGTTTGAGTTAAATTGAGAAATAGGATGGGGGAGGGAGGGGGATTTCAGCATATCACTGGATGGTGGTTCAGAAGGCCCCACATCGGTTGAGTGGATGTGAACTGGGTGATCATTTGGTATGTTTAAAAATGTTCTGGATCCATAGCTTGTTCTTGAGATCTAGAAGAGAATGGTGGAAGAGTAGGAGGCAGCTACCACTGAACTCTGGTGACGGAGACATTAGTGGCTCCCAAATGGAGACAAGTTCTTTGGAACCCCCCTTATGGACCTCTCTGTGGGTCTAAATGGTTTGAGGAGGTTTGTAACTTCAGGGACTTCTTCCCACTGTATTTGCAATTTTCCTTGCTGGTTTTTGCCTTTACATTGTTCTAACACTCTGTCCTTAGGCTGAAGGTCAAATGCCAATCCATGTTCAAATTGTTCTTTAGACCTGTGGGCCCTGTGAGAGTTCAGCTAAACATAATATGGTAGGACAAATGGCCTGCTGACAATTGTACTTCATTGTTGTATTTCCAGACCTGTTCTGCTCTGTAATGGTTAATTTTTCGTGAGCTAGATTTTTCAGCGGTTAGATCAGGATGCAACGGAATCTCACATATGCCAATGTCTTGTGGGTGGTGCAGTGTAGTGTGCCACTTTCTTAGTAACTAGTCAGTGCCACCATTCTTGGAAGGACTAACTTTTGAAATAGGGCACATGGTCTAAATGTATCTTCTGTGGGCAACTGTAAGGAAAACAGAAATGTTTCAACATCACAGAGTCAATCTTGGTGGTCTGGTCATTGATCTGTATTGCCAGTGCAAACTTGGCAAAGTGTTCTACCGTTACTAAAATGATGGCATCCATCTTTTGACATGTTCACTGTATAAAAGTTGAAGGTCAGTACTTCCAGCAGGTAAAATATGTGCTAAGACAGTGGTGGACTTTGGTTACCCTTTGACACCCAACAGGTCACACTGGGGTTTATTTACTAAAGCTGGAGAGTCCTGGGGCTGTCAAGTTGGGCCATCTCTAGAGAGACTGCGCTTAACCATACACAGTGAAAGCTGTTAAACTACAAAGCCCCACCGCCATGAGTCAAGCAATGGAGTGGCAATATGGAATGAGTACCCATTTAAGAACCTAAGATGTGGATGAAGAAGCTTAAGAGATAGAAATCCTAACTTGACTGGAGGAAGGCCTAAGCATAAGCCTCACATGAACCTCATCCATGCACTGGAAGAGTACGAGGCAGAGATAGAGAGAGGATCCAGTGGTAGACCCCATAACAGAGGTGATACGGTTATGGCAGTAGCCCAGTGCTAGGGAAAGACCAATCAGCTTCCAGGTTTCATTGCTAAAGCTTCATTGAACAAGCTGAGGTTAGAAGCTGATTGGTTTCTATGCAGAAGGGAGTCTGATTTTGGACTCTCCAGCTTTAGTAAATAAACCCCACTGTGTCAGCAGATTTTTTTCAATTAACTGGAATAAACCCACACATGGCTTGTTTCTTGAACCAGGCAAATTTTTGTGGATACCCCAGTGTCCCGTTTAGATTCTCACTGTCACTGATCACTGATAGGGTCCAGGCCGTTAACAGTATGGCCAGCCAAGCTGCTGATGAGTCATTGGGAACATTTATTCTGCAGTACAGTTATACAATGCCTCAGGATGAGATGGGATCACTCACTCAGGAGTTTGTTGATTTCTGATTGTAGCTTTGATCTTTCCCTAGCACTGGGCTACTGCCATAACCGTATCACCTCTGTTATGGGGTCTACCACTGGATCCTCTCTCTATCTCTGCCTCGTACTCTTCCAGTGCATGGATGAGGTTCATGTGAGGCTTATGCTTAGGCCTTCCTCCAGTCAAGTTAGGATTTCTATCTCTTAAGCTTCTTCATTCACATCTTAGGTTCTTAAATGGGACTCATTCCATATTGCCACTCCATTGCTTGACTCATGGCGGTGGGGCTTTGTAGTTTAACAGCTTTCACTGTGTATGGTTAAGTGCAGTCTCTCTAGAGATGGCCCAACTTGACAGCCCCAGGACTGGAATGGTAACTTTGGCGGCTTGTGCCAGTGTTCACTGTCTGCTAGAGAGGGCATACCTTCCTTGCCCCTTGGAGTATTCCTGTGTGTGCTTCAATGTAGATAACTCTGTCTGAATCTGTGCCATTCCTGTTGTCTGTTTCCAGAGGCCACATCCTATGGAACCATCTGTTTGGTTTTAGGTGGGTCTATCGATTTCCCACCTATGATAGCCATATGTGTGTCTCAACGTGTAAGTCTCAGAAACATGGAATCAGTCACAATTTGAAGTTTGACAAACTGTTTGAAGGGGCGAGAGCATGTCAGGAGCGCTTACAAGGTTTCTCTGACCTTGTCAGGCAGCAGTCCATCCACAAAATGTTCCTTCATCTATGTGTCTGCATTACCCTAGCTGGGCCATACCACTGACCTCTTTCCCTACAATGTTACTCTGCTGTTGTGTTTTGCAGCTCCAGAATATTGCAGAATGGATTCCCTACTCGCTGCTTTGTGTCAAATGCATGTCCTAAGTGGTTTATTATCTGGTCAAGGAAACTTTTCGACTGGGAGTTGCAGGATTAACCTTCTTGCTTCCCCATCTAAGGTATTAATGGTCAGCCATGCCAGCTGATAGGTGAGATCCCATATGGTTGGATCAGGCCCCGCAAGCTCTTGGCTCAATTTCTCATGTCCTCAACTGATCTGTGTACTTGGGTAATTGTTATGGAAGGTAGCTTGCCAGGAATAAGGGGATCATTATTTCAGGGGTAGTAAGTTGCCCACTTCTCCAGTACTACAGGGCACCACTGACATGCCACTCCCATCACCATTGTCTGACATGGCTGATCTGTTATGTAAAATTGAAGTTTAACAGAATAGGTAATTGTCCGAATAATCCGACTGAGAGTAACTAGTTTATTAACACCTTCCCGCCCAGTCTATAGCAGATTGATGGCTGGATGGGACACTCGTCATTGTGATTGGGCGTCATATGACATCCTGTCAAAACAAGGTGCTCACGGGGCCGCGCAGCAGCGCGATATGTCACCGGCTGTGTCCACGGGACACAACCGATGACATATCACTACAATGGCCCATTGCCAGTGTCATGTGACCTCTGTGACCAATCACAGCAGATCACACGTCAATTGTATACAATGGAAGGCTTCCTGTCGTGCCATTCATTGTATACAATTGTGTTGTTAGCTGTGACTGGTCAAGGCAGTCACATGATACAGACAGGGCCAATCACAGCCCATCTGTATCATGTGATCAGCTTTGCCCAATCACAGCTAATCACAACAAAAGACTGAATGAATCAGTTTCATTTAGTAACAGATTGCAAATATCAATGAAATACACTGGTATTCGCAATCATAATGTGTAAAAAAAAATCCTGATCACTTGAGCAGAGTAGTTCAATATTACTATGGTAACATTGTATTGCTTTGGTCACCGTGTGCTGAAAAATAAAATAGTAAAAAAAAGAAAATATGTAATAAAAACATTTGGAAAAAAAAATACAAATTCGATCATTATTATTATTTTCACCAAAGAAATGTAGCAGGATATATTTTTACCAAAATTTATGAACAAATGTTATTTATTTGCAAAATTTTATAACAGAAACAAAGAAAAGTGGGGTTTTTTTTTCAAAAGTTTCAGGTGTTTTTTGTTTTATTTAGCAAAAAATAAACTCAGTGGTGATTAAATACCACCAAAAGAAAGCTCTATTTGTGTGAAAAAAATTATAAAAATTTCATATGGGTACAGTGTTGCATGACCGCGCAATTTTCATTCAAAGTGTGACAGCTCTAAAAGTTGAAAATTGACTTGAGCAGGAAGGGGGTATAAGTGCCTGGTATTTAAGTGGTTAAACAGGTGCAATACAGGTTTAGAACATGGCAACAACATATATA